AGCAAGGCTGGCTGGGGAATTCTGGGAGTTCAAGTCCACCCATCTGAAAGCAGCCAAGGTTGAGAAGCCCTGCTGTACGTGATCAACCAACCGGTGCAGGCCTTTCAGCAAGAGTTTCCCTGCCTTTTAGCTGAGCTACGTCCTTTCTCCTGCAATCAAGCAAGGTTCTAGTCCTCATGCCCCCAAATGAAAATGCGTTAAACAGGACTGGAAACAAGCTGCCGCAGAGCACCCGACTTGGTCTGGGTTATGGGGTCTCCGGAATGCCAGGCCGGGGTCTTCTCCAACCCGCCCCCCCTTTCCGCCCCCCCCCCGCCTTTCGCGCCCCGCAGGACGTCACTCACTCTCACAAGCCAACCCCTGCCGGACCAGCCCGACCATCAGCGATGTGCAGCGCATGCATTTGGTGGGGGCGGAGAAGCTGTGCGTTTTGAAGCTGTGCGTTTTGGGCTAGGAAAATACGGGAGGGGGCACGTTGGAAAAAGTCAGCAGGAAAATAACACCCCACGTCGCCTAATACGTCAGTGAGAACCTTCCCATTTAAGCCCTTTAAATCTTCTCCCCATGGGAAGACTCGTCGAAAACTGCCCCTCTCATAAAAGGGGGTCTTTTAAGATGATCGCTCTCTGTACAGCTGGATTCTGAGTCCCATCCACCCCAGCCAGCATGGGATTTAGGGTCCAACATCCAGAAAACGTTCCCAAAGGGGCATTCGGGCCCTTAAAACAGCTCAGTCCCACTGGAGGGGGGAAAAGCAATCCTGCTGAATTCGAAAATCAGGTCCTGTGATTTATTCCATGCTAACCTTCTGCCCAATATCCCTGGGGGTCTGAGGCTGGCGCGAGGCAGGGAAGCATGGGGCTTCCTGGCCAAGCTGAGGTTCCGATGTGCACTTTCCCACAACGGGGGCTGCATGGAAATACTTAAAACAGAGCCTCCCAGTTGGGAAAGTGGCTGATCTTTGCAGAGGTGGGGAGCTGGCTGGATTTAGTTGGTCTAAATTGGATTTAGCTGACCAATTTACTTGGTCAGGCAGTTCCTCTAAGCATACAAAGAGTGCATTTCCCTCCCCATTAAGGCTATTCCGGCAGAATAGACTGAAGCCCATCTTCACCTTCAGGGATCCAGCCTGGCCGCTGTCTGCAACAGGAGCCCCTGCCTGTGTTGGAAATGCAAAAAAGGGGGGGGCAGAAGACAAAGAGAGTGAGGCATCTATCGCTCCCCTGCCCCCCCCGGCTAAGGCTGACCCGACTTCAGCGTGTTGCCCACCTTTGTCCAGCTGCAAGGGCAGGCCGCCCACTGCCCTCTGGCCACACTGGCCCACAGCCTCATTTTAAAGGGCCTCTGCAAACCATTTTGGCCCAAATGACTTATCAGGCCATGCCAGCTGGGCAGAGACCGAAAAGGAGTGCCAGAACGAGAAAGAGAAAGAGGGGAATTTTTCTCTTTTTATCGGTCTCTGCTTTTGGCTTGGATTTTTATTGTATCCTGAAGTGAGACTTCAGGAATTGGCAGGGTGAATAAGCAGAATGAATGAATGAATTAATTAATTAATTAATTAATGAACGAACGAACGAACCAGAAAATGGGTGCTCTCATTTTCGGGTGTCGCCCTGCCCACTGATTCCTTAAGCCTCCCACCCCACAGCCAAGTGGCCCTTCGCTGGATTTCCCCCCCCCCCAGCTGTTTTCAACCCTGCCTTTCCTTCTACAGCTCAGAAGGGGGCAGTTTGGATTCCTTCTCCAATATGAGCCTCAGCACAACAACTCTGCAAGGTAGACCAGGCTGGGGAGGGATGGTCCAAATCAATGGTGCAGCTTCCGTGACTGAGTGGGGACGCGAACCTGGGTCTCCCCACTCTGAGTCCAGCCCCTTCCCCACTGAACCACCCCGGTTTTGGGGCTGAGAGGGAGGGGCTAGCCCCAGGTCTTGGGGGGGAGCTTCCTGGGCTGATGAGGGATCTGAACCTGGGTCTCCCTGGCCCAAATTCAGCATCTCAATCATGCCACCAAACTTTCCAGGAAGCTCTTCCACCCAATTCCCAAATGTTAGGATTTAGGGGGAAAGATCTGTCCATCCCAATGGAAAGTTGGGGAGTTTGCCCCCCTGCCCACCAGCTCCTTCGGGAATGCCAAGCAACGGGACTCACGCTGGACCGGACACTCCTTCTCCCTTCGGGGTGCAGCTGGGCCTCCTCGGGTGCCCTCCTCACCTCCTGGGGGTCGGGGCTGTTCCCAAAGACGATGGCGTCCTTCTGGCAGGGAAGGGGGAGAAACACCGGTGGCTCCTCCTGCCTCTGGATTGGGGCCCCCAAAGGTTCCTCTGCAGAGCACCTGATGTGCCCCGGTCCTGCGGGGGGGGGGGTTCCCTTCTCTCTTTCCCTGCCCTTTTGGAGCAGTAATATGATCATTTCACATTCGTTTAGAGCAGTGTTGTCCAAACTTGGCCACTTTAAGATGAGTGGACTTCAACTCCCAGAATTCCC